ATAATATAATGTTTTTATATTAATTATCCACAATAGTTTACTTATTTTGTATTAAATTATTCAAAAATGTCAAACAATGCATTGCTCTTTGAGTTCGGAACCTACGACGCTAAAAGCAATTTGGTTGGGTTGAAAAATCTTTAACTCATTCTAAGTTGTATGGGCTGATTGGATTGGTCGGATTGATACTTTAGTACATTAAATATTTTTTTAACCTTGAAAATGTTATTTTTATGTACTTATAATTTTTTTTGGTCATCAACTATTTGATACAACTTATCCAAACTTTTTACGTGCATCACATTCATTTAATTTTCTCAATTTACATATATATGTTCACAGTTATTGAACATATATACAAATGAATTATATAGAGATGTGAATATATTGAAACTATGTGTATATGAAAAACGTATGTGATAATGTAGTTGTCTAATGTATATATATATTAATAGAAATTCAACAATCATATCAAATCCGAGAAATAAAAGGATATCGGATTCATCGGGTTGGGTTGAATTCAGATAATAGTAACCCAGTATCTACGATTTGAAAATTTTACAACTCGATTAGACATCAGGTTGTTTTGGATTGAGTTGTTTCGCGTTGGGTCGGGTTGGTCGGGCCCTGGCTGGCGGCATTAACAGGATGAAGGAGCGAAGGAGGAGTGTCGGGAACAAGAAGCTAACAATGATTATAAAAACATTAAAAAGAAGTTGAAACACCAAAAGGCGAAATGCTTCACACACGTATGTTTTCATACCGTTGGCATCTCTTTTAACTGGTCAAGTTGTACATGACGGAGTTACAAATAACAAATAATCAATATGTTAAAAATCTGGTTTAAATGAAATGGTTGATTTAATGCTCCGAACATAAATCGAACTATAAATTTAGTGTCGTGAACATATATCTGATCTACATATATTATGGGCCGTTAATCAAACACTTGCTCAGGTAAGCGCTTACCAAGTTATGTTACCTCACCGGATGAATATGGTAATGACCAGGAATCTTACCCGGTAAAAGCAACACAAGGACCACGAATCTTACTCGGTAAGTGAGGACGACGACTGTTATCATGGTAAGTGCTTACCGGATAAATTGTTGCGTACGATGTCGTTTTGATGGACTAAAAACTTACCCGGTAAGTAAATAATAGTGTTAAATTTTATCGGTAAGCACTTATCGGGTAAGTGTTTGATAAACGACCCCTTAATATGATGTAACTCGATCAGACAAACTAATTTATCTTAAACAATTTAATTGATTTTGGCTAAATCGCATAGTTTCACAACATGTATTCATACCTAATTCATTATTATTGAAATCGCCTCCATAAATTGCAACCCCCTCAAACAATTTTTATATTTCAAAAACATTTTTTTATATATTTTTATTATTAATCTATACTATATTATACAACATTTGACAAAAATTCTTAAAAACCATTTTTTATATATGAAATATTGTTTATTTGTGCATATTACTTATAATTTAAGATAAATTATGCGTAAGCACATCTATTAAAGTTCTATGTTTGAATTCGTGTAACTAATTGTAGATAAATATAATCAGATAAAKGATAAACATCTCATTTTAAAATATTTACTAATAACGTTCACCATRGTTTTAAGCAAAGTTCAAAATGGCATTGGGTGTGGCATGACGACAAGGTTAAACCTCAAGCCTTACACGTCATAACGAGGACGTGACGTTTTTCAAAGCGTGACATAAGACGGCAAAAAATCGTCTTTGATTAAATATTCAAAATAAAACTTAGAAAGGGTAATTTTACTACTTCGTTTTAATCACGAGTCCATTACATTATGAATTTGTGAGTGATATGTTAGATAAATCTATGAAAATATAAAATCTAAATTTAATAGCGTAAAAACACAAAAACTAAAATAAACAAAACTATAAACTAATTTTTTTTTTAAAGTCACGCCTTGTAAAAATGTGTGTCACGACGCGCCTCAAAACCCCCTGGCGTGAGCCACGTACTACATAAACATTATGGGTCTTCTCGTAACATCGGAAACGCATTTTTGCGCCATATCGGGCTATGGCATCCTTAAACACTCGTGTTAAGTTAGATTCAAAATTATTTGGTCAGTCTTTTGTTCTAGGCCTTGTGTGTTACAAATGATATCAGAGCTGATTCGTGTACCATAGGGATGGTGGGACATGCACCCTCTCCTCTCTATGCATTGTGCTTAATAACCTGTGCTTAAGAGATTTAATAGTTTATGCATGAAGCTCAATAAGTTGTACTAAAGATGTTTTTAGAATTTATACCAAAAATGCTATATAAGATAGATAAGATAACAAGAAGACCGAGTGGGAGTAGAGATGCACAATTGGGTCTAGGCCCAAAAATCAGACCTAGGATAAGCCTGGACCCGCCCTTGGAATACTACCTGATAAGTATCATGATCAATTATAGGAGAATTGGACATTAATTTTTGACCGCTCAACCTACCTTGGAAGGACATACTATGTGTCCAACTCTAACTGAGACCATTGTCATATCTAACACCCTGATTTCAATCTCCATATCAATCATAATGTCGACAAATTGACTATTGAATATTAAAAATTATAAAAAATTATGTATTTTTTAATCATATTCATGTATTTAGAAAACTAATAGTATGTTTATTAAATAAGAGCTGAAAATCTCTTAGGTGGCGTTTGTCTTTTAGGAGATGCTGAAGTATGAAATCTGATTTCACTTCTGATTTTTAAGAGGTGGTGCTGAAGTCTGAAATCTGAATCAGTCAGACTGTTTATTTTTGTAAATTGACAAACGTCTGAAGTCTGAAATCTGAATCAATAGTTTGCTTTTGTAACCAACAAAACATATGAATATGTATAATTTCTGATTTCATTTATGTTTATGTTCCCAAGATTCATTTAATTCTTCCTTAACCTCCACATCAAGTCTTCCATCCTCAATCTCCACCCTCATCCCACCACCATCAACCACCGTCCACCACCACTCCTCCTCTAAAATCCAATGCCCAAATTCACCTCTAAAATCGAAGCAAATCTCCATCATGATGAAAACTACAGGGACAAAAATACTTTGATTCACGAGGATAAAGGTGTACAACTACTGGTTTGCACAGGAACGAAAACCCACAGTGGTGAAAAACCACAGAGAAGAAAACCCTCTTGATTTGGATCTGATTTGGGTCGATTTGAAGCCACCAGAGGTGATGGATGGTGAACTCGATCGATTGAGAGGGTGAAGTCGATCGAATGATGAAGTAGAAATCGGTTCTCTGGATAGTTTTTAGGATTAAGAGGAAAATAAGTGGCTAGATTATCACTTAATTTTTAAGAGGAAAATAAGTGAAAAATAAGTGATAAGTGGCTCTGAAAGAAAAAGAAAAACAAACAGTCTAAATTGCCTTATGTCTGACCGAATCAGACATAAGTGGTAAAATAAGAGTTTTTTTCAAAAAACAAACACCACCTTATAATCCTCTGAATTTTTAAGTGGTAGTATAAACCCTTAATGGGCTCTTACTTGCACACGAGGACACCATATCGATCTCTCGCTTGATCTCTAGCTACCAAATCATATCGATCTATCCAAATCATACGAACTAGACACCATATCGATCTCTCGCTCGGTCTCAAGCTACCGATCTATCCAAATCAATCTCTGCAAAACGATCTCTGCAAATCGATCTCTCCTATATATGAGTCATTTTTTGAGTATTATCAAACCAACGAGCAAGGGGATGATGGCGACACAATTAATGCAAAATGAATATTGGTTCTAGTCGTTATGAGACATTGTTCGTGTTTATATTGATTCAGATTTCATAATCCAGACGTAAAAACAAACAGTCTGACTGATTCAGACTTCAACACCACCTCTTATAAATTAGAAGTGAAATCAGACTTCAGAACCTATTAAAAAACAAACGCCACCTAAGACTCACAACTTATTTGGTCAGGTACATTTGATTGTTTGATAGTTGCTTGATGATATAAGCGTGTCTTATTTAGAAAGCAACTCTTTCAATCTGACCCTTCCAATTAAAACACTCTTTTCATCTATAAAAAACTGTCTCAAACAAAACTTTCTTAGTTTATTTATACTATATTATAAAACATTTGACAAAAACTCTTAAAAGCTATTTTTTATGCATAAAATATTGCTTATTGATGCATATTACTTAAAATTCAAGATTACAGGTAAAATGTGCATGAATATAAGCTTCATATTTGAATTCGTGTAACTAACTGTAGATAAACATAATCAAATATGTGATAAACATCATTTTAGATATAAAAAATCTAAAATATAATTAAGATAATCATTGAATCATAACAAGAATACTTAATTATTATCTTAAAAGTAATTATTTTAATAAACCAAAAATAAATTAGTTCGTTTTTAAACTTCAGTCTTATCATAATAAAAAATTAAATTAAAAAAATTACACAAAAATGAAAACTTTTTTAAATAGTTAATTTGGTATTGATATCGATTAATTTTTTTCAAAATTTTATAATATATTAAAATTATATTCCATTTAAAAATAAAAAGATTTTCTTTTTATCAAAACCACATAAAATCGCATTATAACATCGATAAAGTCAAAATATAAAACGAAACATTAAAATAGTAATGTACCTCGGTGCATTGCATGGGTACTTTTCTAATACATACAAATTAATTTACACAAACATCTTTGTCCATACAAAACTTAATGAAAAAAAAAAAACCTTTAAATCAATATAATAAAAGTAATCCCTCTTGCAAAACACGCACTTTTTTTCCCTAACCCATGCTTTCTAAATTCTTCACTCTTGGCATACTCCAACAGTCATCGGCGAGACCAAATATCCACTTCGCTACGTGCTTATCTCCATAGGCCCCACGTCTTATAAATATCAACATCACCTTCTTAAAATCTTAATAAATCAATACCACAACGCCAGACTAAATAAATAACTCTCTCACGCCGTTGGATACATGCCCCGTGCTTCTCAAGCACTTCATTAGGTAAAGATTCTTCCTTCAAAAAATTCAAATTCGAATTAAGTATACTTTTTGAATACAATAATCGCACCAATTCTATTCAAGACAATGTTGATTTCTTTTTAACTTTTGGTAATCTGATGGAATATTCTCGACGAAATTCGTCGCATTTGTTTTATATACTTGGAGTAATTCTTCATGTTTTTTCATCGATTGTTTGCTATTTTTTAAGGCGGAAAATTGTTTTTTATGCTCAGTTTCATTGAACAATGGCTGTGAGATCAAAGCGTGTGACGGATCCTCTAGATGAACGAGTCAAAGATCGAATCGTCGGCCGTGACAGGCCGGAACTGGTGTACGGTAGCAGCGGTAGCGAGCACAGCGGATCCGGTAACCAAAACGGTGATGATTCATCATCCTCATCCAATTCTCTCTCTTATCTTCTTCATTGCTTCGATGAGCACCGGGAGGAAGAGGAAAAGGAAAAGGAAGATGCCGTTAACGGCGATGAATTAGACGGAAGTCATTTGCAGGATAACGATTCTGATTCTGATTCCGATCGTGTGGAAGCGAAATTTGAAGTAATTATTTCGACATTGCGTGATCTAAATGTTGATAGGTTCAGGAACGTTCTCCTCGCGAATGTTGTAAAAGCTAGGGAGATTTTCCGCAGTCTAAGACCTAACGCACAGATTCTTAACCGTAACGTGATGTTGTTTCTTCAAAACCTCGGCTATAACGCCGCGATCTGCAAGACAAAATGGGAAACCTGCGGCGGACTCACGGCCGGTAACTACGAGTTCATCGACGTCCTCCGATCCGATTCCGGCGTTCGTTACTTCATCGAACTCAACTTCTCCGGTGAGTTCGAGATCGCCAGACAGACAACTCAGTTCCAGAGATTCTCACAGAAATTGCCGATTGTTTTCGTCGGAACAAGTGCAGATTTGAAGATGATCGTGAAATTTATGAGCGACGAAATAAGACGGTCACTGAAGAGCAGAGGATTACTTCTCCCTCCGTGGAGAAAAAACCGGTTCATGCAGAACAAATGGTTCGGTCCGTACCGACGAACCGTAAATTATACTCCGGCTAACATGTTGTCGTCTATACCGGTTCCGGTGAACAATACGACATCAGGCGTTAATTGCAGTTTGATCGGATTTAACGTCGTTGACGGTGCTCCGTTACTCCCTGCGGCAACCCGTACAAGATAATTTAAAATATTTCGTAATCTATAAAAATTGCTGCAATTTGATCAGACAAGAAGAGTAGATATTATTATAGTACAAGAAAAACTGATATAAAGATACTCGAGTGGACAAAATCTCATAATCTACTAATCCATGTTAATCTACGGATGAGCATATTCCGTATGTTTAAACTTATTCTTGATTATTAAAAAAATTGATCAAAAACACTTGATTTATTAAAACTCTAAAATAACTTTTGGGGAATACAAGGTTATAAAAGTTGGAGCTGGTTTTAATGAATACTCTCATTGTTTTATAATATAAAATGTTAATTATAATAAATAATTTCTATAAACTTTCATAAATATTTATTCTTATCATTTTTATAAATATCTTGATTTTTATTANTGGTTTAATAAAATAAAATTTTTAAGATAACAATTAAGTATTATGTTATAACTCAATTATTATCTTAATTGTATTTTAGATTTTTTATATTTAAAATGATGTTTATCATATATTTAATTATGTTTGTCTATAGTTAGTTACACGAATTCAAACATGGAGCTTTAATAAGATGTATCCATGCACATTCTATTTGTAATATTGAATTTTAAGTAATATGCATCAATAAACATTAATTTATACATAAAAAATGTTTTTAAATAGTTTTTGTCAAAATGCTTTATAATATAGTATAGATAAAAAGTTTTGAAATTTTAGATATTTTAGAAAATAAAAATTAAGTGTTTCAATATTTTATATTTAAAATTAAAGAGATAACATATTTTAATAAATAAATAAAATGAGGTGTTATAACTCGAATTTTCTTGTGTTTAGTGGTAAAACAAGAGGGAAACTATTGCTCCTTTTTTATTATGGGATCCGTAGTCGGGGGAAAAATTATCCATTTGATTGAAGGTACTTGATGACAAGTTTAAGGAGGCGTTTGGTTCATAGAATGGAATTCGATGGAATTGAACTTCATCAAATGAATTTGACTTTGAGGGAATTGAATGGAATCTGATGGAATTTGACCATGCCTTGTGATTGCGTTTGGTTTGCATGAAATTGAATTAGGGAAGGAATCTGTAAGAAAGGAATTGAGATCCTAGCATATTGTTATGGAATTGTAAAAATCTGTGCGTGAATGAATCGACTGGAATTGAAAGGATTCTGTAGTCTTATTCCATGAACCAAACACTCTATTTGGAATTTGGTCAAAGGATTGGACATTCTCATTCCTTTCAATTCTCATGGTCCAAACAGCCCCTAAAGGTTTTGATGAAATCGATATTGATGAATGGAACTGGACTAGGAAAAATATATTTTACTGAGAAAAGGTAACAAAGATAAAATACGAGCTTGTTTAACAAAGAGTTTTCCCCCCTTTTCCGCCTGTTCTTTGGCCTTAAGAAAGTATCTGAATTCTTAAGAAAAATCATTATTGTTGATCCAAGACCATACATATTAACATCAATAAGGGGGTGTTTGGTTCATGGAATTTGGTGGAATTTAAAGGAATTGGAATGTCCAAATCTTTGACCAAATTCCAAATCCCATGTTTGGTTCACATAATAAATGTGAAGGAATCATTCCAATTCCATCCAATTCCTTAATTCATTGATTTCACAATTCCTCCGCATATATCACGGATTTCAAATTCCAATCCGACAAATTCCTTAGCCCTAATCCATTCATCGACGATGTATCTCGATTTGCTCTATTCTGCTATGCTCGATCTCCTTTGCTTAATCTCGTTTAAAACTAAGAATGACAATGGGCCAGGTTCGGGCCGGTTATTGGTATCCCTGTCCCAGAAACCGATAATTAAAACCGTCCCCATGACCTCCCTGATCCCCGTCGGGGATCTTATCGGGTCCCGCGGTTTTCCCGATCCCCGTTGGGGAATCCGTGAAAGTAAAAATCATCTTTTTCCCGTTCACCGTTGATTGCAACCGAATCCGAAACCCGAAACAGATCTAAAAATCCCCGTTAAAATCCCCGAATTTAATATATATATATATATATATATAGGTGGAGGTTCAAACGAGAACCACTGTGATTTACGAAAACGCGAGAACAACTCAATAACCACAAACTTTTTTAATTAATAAATTAACTTTTATTATATATAAATAATTTAATAAGGGCAGTAAT